AAGTATTTTGCTTCAGGACTTTCTCCATATTCACTCTCAAAATTAATGCTCAAATGTAGCATTTTTCAGAAGTTTGTTTTTCTCTGCAATGCATTCTGGGTAGCGTCACTGCTTCCGCCCAATAAAATAGCAACGGAATAGGACAGGAAGTATTCACCCTCACAGTCTCAGGATAGAGGATCTAGTACAGCCACATTCTCCAACAAGCCCGACTCTCGCTCTAGCCAGCGCGCGCGCGATTGTATTTTTGAACTCTCTATAGATAGCGCATCTACACACTAACATTAATTCAGTAAATGAGATTTGTAGTATGTGTCTCAGACTACATCCACACACACACACATCTATAGCTCACTCTATATACATCTTAATTAGATGCGAAGAGAGTCTTACACACACATTCCGATTCTACTAAATCACATATCCCAATGACTCAAAGAGTTAGTCATGGAGGATGATTTTATTGAAAGGGTGCCCATAGGCAAAAAATGATTCCAAAATTTCAATTAACTATGAAGAGTCTACAAAATCACAATAACTCTATCAAATTACAGTTGAAGTAGAACACATCACGCAAAACTATGTCTTAAAGTTTGTACGGGGGAGAGAATAATGGAGAGAGAGTGCGCGAGAGATCATGACTAGAGAAAAACACACCACTTCAACATACAAAGGCTAAACAAACACTCATCTCGAACCACCCCACAGATAAACCACATCACTTCCCCCAACAAAAATATTAGTGCATTTTTAATTCTGGATACTTACAGTGTCCATACAACTGTAACGGTTGTAATGGGGCAGTGATACTGTAGGAGTGAGTGTTGGATATATGATCCCAACTATCTGAGGATAAAGAATTAATAGACCACCGATCCCTCTGTAAGTAAGTGATCTAACCTGGCGCTTACAGTATAATTCAGTCTCCATTAAAATCAGATTATTTCAATACAGAGAGCATAGCCAGGATAATATTAAACAATCACGCGTTATTGATTTGTCCAGACACATCGATGTTTGAAAAATTCAACGATTGCAGAGTAAGCATATGTATAAAAAAACTATGATCAATATTAATTACATAATTCGTCACGGTGATAAATAACAGCAGAGTGTTAAGTGAGATGGTAGATTCTAGGTACAAAGACGATATCATTGTAGAGGTTATATGTTAGAACACAAAAACTTTAACATCGTCGTTGAGTTGATGGGACCTGGGCGGATTAGGTAGAATTGAGTCTAAGACTTATCAAAGATGAGGAATGTTTTCAATGGTGATGTATATGCGATCATCTAAAACCACGGAGATCACAGCAGTGTGAGGGGGAGAGGTCTCACAAATCAGGAGCAATTCCATAACTAGAGTGGAGAGAATACTGTATGTGACTCGCAAGATGGCCTGGGTTAGGTAGGATGTGGGTGTGGTTTAGAATAGTACGGTGGATGTTCATCTGAGTACTATGAGGGAAAAACCATCATACGAGAATGGGATTATTGCAGATCTAAATGGAGGGGTTGTATAGGATTGTATTTATGGAGGATAGGCGGTAATGTATTTATGTTGAATTTACATAATAGAGTTTGGGAGATATATACTTGTACAGCATGGTCTGGACAGATTTCGCATGACAAGTTATGTGGGCACAGTGTCTATTACAAAATTTAACATATATGATTAGAGGTGTATGGTAAACAAGTATATGCGGGGAGGAGGGGAAGGCACCTTAAGAGGAAGAACATAATACATCAAAGCACTCAAGACATTTTGGGTAAATATGAAAGTATAAATAAGAGTTGTGTGATGAGTAATATAGATAGTATTGTTATAAGTTTGGGAGAGTACATAATTTAGAATAGAAAGTGCGTTGTGTAAAAATATTGCGGTATGTTAGGTGTTTGTTTGCTATGTGGGAGATATGAAATGGTTAGGTATTAGATAGGTTATTGGGTTAGGGTGGTATGTTGATTTAATTGAGTGGTACTTAGTTATTATTGGGGTTGCATAGGATTATTTAACTTAATGATATTTGCTAGCATCATGAAATCGAAGAGTGCAATATGACATTAGTAGATAGTATCTAGTAATTGGAGATGAAATACATTTGTGTATATATAGAGGAGGTGAGATAGAGTTTAGGTGATAATTTGTAATGGGTAAATGAGAACTGAGTAATTGCTATGTACAAAGAGTAAATCAAGTACGGATTAACGCGGTGGAAATTTGATACTGTCTAGTAATAGAGAGTAATTGCTGGAAATAAGATGAAAATTTGTGTATATTGTGATATACACATTGAAATGTAGTATAGGTATAGGGTGCGTAACGTGTAATATTAGATGGGTCTATGAGGGAGGATTGGGAGACTGTCATAGTATAGAAATAATTAGCATAATTAATCTAGTGGTGGTTCATATAGGTAATGGATAGAGAAGTGAATGCATAGTAATAAAGATATGATATAAATAGAAAAATATATCTATAGAGTTAGACTGAAACATGAAGGGTATGTTATATAATTTTGTTTTGGATTTTAGGTAAAGGGGATGTAGAAAGATGGAAGATGGGGGGGAAAGTTGGGTGGGAGTAGGAAATATATAGTTAGATGGTAATGTATATGTATATGTCATGTGTAATGTTGATGTAATTGTTGTAATTGTTGTAAATTTGTGGTAATGTGTGTGATAATTGTTTAGGCTGTTAAATTGGAGTGAAATTTTGTAATGTTAGTTGTAATTGTGTCACAAGTTGTGTATATGGTAGATGTGCTTTGATGTTGAGGGGGAAGGATGAGAAGATGATATGGGGAAGACACTGACATTAAGAAGAAGGCGGGACATAGGGAGCAAATGATTTACACTTGGGGAGGCACTAGGATCAATGGGATGATGGTGAGTGGTATTTCGAGAAAGATATGGTATATATAAATTGGTGAATATAGGTGTGCATTTATTATGTGGGTTAATTAAATGGTTTATATACATGTACTGTATAATTATGTTTTCTTTATAGGCGGTGTATATAATGAGGTATATATAATGTATTATCATATGGTAAATATATGTTTGTATCATGGGTGCTTTTATAATGGGGTGTAATATGGTATAGTACATAGTGTTGAATATATGAGTATATAATATGAGAGTATATATGGGTGTAAAAATGTGAATAAGGGTATTCACATAAATGTTATATAATGGTTTGTTATATGTGTAATATATGTGTATATGGGTTGTTTATATATGTTGTATATTATTATGTATTTTTGTATATATTGTTTATGAGATAGTGTTTTAGGTGTATTGGAAGGGAGGAGCGAGGTTGGGGTTGAGGTTTAAGGGGATATGGTACATGGGGGGAGATGTTGTTATTGGGGATTGTTGTTGGGGGGGGTTATTGGATGGGAGTAGTAAAGTTTGATGGGATGGTGTGGGTTTTTTTTGGGAAGGACAGTGGGTGGGGAAAATGGGTAGGAGGAGTGAGAGGAAGTATAGTATGATGTGAGAAGATTAGTGGTATTGGAGATGAGTAGGGGGTGGCGGTGGGGGGGGATGGGGAGGGATGGAAAGAGGATGGAAATAGGGGTTAATATGAATGACACAAGGTAGAAGATAAGGAGAGTGGAGAAGAGGTATATGGTATAGGATATTTAAGTAATAGGGTAATCTTTATAACTTTGTTTTTTAGGGAAGGGTTAGTGACAGCACGGTAGTAGTAGATGGTGGGGAAGGGGGGGAGGGGGGGGATAGAGGAGAATTTAGATGGGGGTAGTGAGTGGAAGGGAGATGTTGTGGTGTGGGCGGATTTGAATAGGAAGTATGAAAAAATTTGGATAGAGATATGGAGGGGAGTAGAGGAGTGTGTTAGGAATCGGTGGTGGAGGAAGTGGGAGGGAGGTAGGTGGGATTGTGGGTTAGTGTAGTTATGGATTGAAGTAAAAAGGGGGGAGAGTTGGATGAGGTTATAGGGGGAGTTGAGATTGTGTGAGGGGTGATTTGGAGTTGATGAAATATAATAGTATGTAGGTTGGTGGGGTGTGGTTTTTGGGTTTTTGATGTGTGTCTTGTGGGTGTGGGGGGGTGGGAGGGGGATTTGTTATTTTGTTTTTTTTGTATAGAGTATTTGGGGGTGTGTTAAGGGGGTGGTGTGATATTTTAGTGGGGAGTAGTAATTAGTTTTTATTTTAAATTTATTACACAACACACCAGGGTTATTTAGAGGGGTTTTAAAAAATTATTTGTGGTATGTGGGTGTATTTTAATGGTAGGATTGAGGAGGGGTGAGTTGGTGGTTATTTTTAGTGGTGTAATAGGTGAGAAGAGATTATTATATTTAGTGAGGGGGGTTGGTTTTGTGTGTGTGTTGTGAGAAACTAGGTTGGGGGTGACATTATATTAAGAGAGTTAGTTGTATATCTGTGAGAGGAGTGGGGGGGGTTGTTAAGAGTGAAGGGGAGGGGGGGGAGAGGGGGAGGGATAGGGGGGGTTGATAGGAGTGGTATGGGACAGGGGGGGGGTTGGGGGTTGTTAAAATTGGTAGGGTGGAGTGGGGAGGAGAGTAGAAACAGGGAGGATTTGTAGAGGGATGTGGGGTGTTTATGTGGTGAGGAGGGGGAAGAGGGGATTATTTTTGTGATAGTTGCAGAAGAGGAGGGTGGGGGGGGAGGGGGTTGAGATTGATTTGTCTATGAAATAGTGGTAGGTTTTGGGGTTATAGGTGTTTGTGGGAGTTGTGTATAGGAGGAGGTGATGCCATGTTGTTTTAGGGGGTGAGTTGTGTTGAGGCAGAGAGTAGTGGGATTAGAGACATAGTAAGGTTGTTTTTTGTGGTTGGTTTTATATTGTTGGCATGAAGTGGGATATTGTGAGACAGGGGGATGGAGGGGGTGGGTGGGGGATGTGGGAAGGAGAGGGTAAGTGATATAGGAATTTGATGGGGGTTAAATTTTTAGTTGGAGGGGTTTGGGTTTTTTATTAATTAAGGATATTGGGAGGTAGGGGACATGGGGTTTTGTTTGTTAAGGGGGGGTTGGAGGGGTTGGGGGGGGTTGCGTGTGTGGAGGGTATGGGGAAGGGAGTATGTGATGGGGGACGGACAGGAGGTTGTGGTGGATAGGGGGGTATACTCACATGATGAGTAGAGTGGAATAGATAATTTTGATTTGTGGAGGGGGGAAGATAGGGGAGGGAGTGATGTGGTGAGGGGTGAAGTTAAATGGATGGAATAAGGATTGGGTAAGATTTTAATATGGAACACAGTTGTGGAAAGAAATGTATGAGGTTTGGAGATGTTATAAATATGTTGGGGAATTTTTGTGAGTGGAGAGGGAGGGAGGTGGAGGTGGATTTGGAGTGGGTAATGGACAATGTATCATGAGGAGTTTTATGTATGGTGGTAAGACAGGGTGGAATTGGTGGTGGGGGGTGATGGGTGGTGGGGGGGGTGGTGGGGGGGGTGGTGGGGGGGTGTATGGGGGATGGGGGGGGGGGTGGGGGGTATGGGGGTGTGGGGGGGGGGGGTGATGGGGTTGTGGGTGGGGTGAGGGGGGGTGAATGGGGGTGGGATGGGGGGTGATGGGGAGGGGGGGATGGGGGTGATGGCCACAGTGAGCTTACTGCCCCAAAGAACAAAGAATCCTTTAAACGCATACATTCTTAAGTGAACTTTTTACAAGATTGTTATTAGGGAATTTCTGTGTATCGATTACAGTCAACACTCAGCTGAGCACAATGTTTTCTGCCCTGACTATATAACTAGACAAGGCCTTCGTTTATTTATGGACAGTATACATTCACAGACAACTCAGTGTTTCACAAAACACATTGCGTAAAAGACCATCAACATAGTAATAATCAGTGTACCATAAAAGAGTGAAAATTGTCTTAATGCACAACAAAACAGAACTATTATATACGGTTTGATTTTTTCATTAATTTTTCACTCATTATATTTCAGGTTCAAACATGATTTCAGTTGTTTGACAAAAATACATAGCTATGCAATTTCTCTTCAACCCTATAGAGTCATGGAACAGAGTGGGAATAAATACAGACTTGCAGTATGAAATCCACTCATCTACCTACACCTTCATTCATTTAGCTGCCGTTGATCAACAAATTCCACTACCAAAATCTAAATTATACTGTAATAATACCATCACAGTCAATCCTCCATTCAAGCACCATCATTTATGTTTAATGTTTATCATTTTCCGGCATGAGATTTGAAATTTTCATTATACAGTACCAGGTATTGTCCACATTTGTTTCCTCCACTACAACTTCAACAGTCCCCCCCTTGAGGCCATTACACCGTCAAACACACACTTAAAAATAGATAATAATAATAATAATATAAAAATATATTTTTATTTAAAGCACTTTCAAACATGCAGGACACTGTACAAACCTTACACACAGTGCCATTCATACCATGATTTGTTATTATATTTGTTTTTTAAATGTTATTCTGTCTGTATTTTATTTAATCTTCATTTTCGTTGATTTAACAGTGAAAGTAGATTTTTCAATTGCCATACCTCCCCAGAGCATCAACAACTCCTTCGCAACAGAAACAGGAGGATGAGTGCTCTCAGGATGGAAATAACATTGCAAACCAAAGATACCTTTTCCTGTGGAAAGTACAGACCGGTGTGAAGATCCAGGCACGTCTGACAAAAGTCCTTTATTGAGAGAAGGGACAACGCGTTTTTGGCCACGCGTGCCCGCCTAACCCATTTGACAGGTGGTTATAATAGACTAATGACGTCCACTGGACTCGTCACATGACAAGAAAGAACAACATCTATCGGATAATACAAGTTAAGAAGGGAGGATAATGATGTTAAACATATAAAGGCACCACAGTATTATGTCGACAGACAAAACCACAACAAAAAAGTACACAAATTCATCACACCGGAGGGGCCCCTGCCAGTGGATACCTTATCTTTGAAAAATTTAAACATATAAAAAATATAAAAACACTGCAAATCAACATAATCATTTAACCCCGAAAAACAGTCGCTATCTATCCAAACGATTCTCTATAATTGTGCAAGTCTTTTTACTCCTGTCCCACCTCTCAGACCGCAGGGATGACCATGGCTTGTAATGACTCAGATTGTGTCCACTGAAGAAAAGTGCATAGCCATGGGATAGTTTTGGATTTTTGGTTTTGATCGCATACATGGTGTTCAAACAGGCGGTCTTTCAAACGCACTTTGTCATTCCAACATAAAAACATCCACAAGGACAGTTCAATTGTAAACTACATGGGTAGTAATGCAGTTGGCAAAGTGCAGACAATGAAGGACACTGACGAGGGAGTTCATTAAAAGTTTTTGTTTTATTAATGTTGCCACAATGATTTGCACCAGTCCACAATGTCAAGTGCCCACAGTTTTCGGAAAAATGTGGCCTCGGACCTGGAATGTAATATTTTACCAGTTTGTCCTTTAAGCGTCGGGGCCCGTTGATGGCAAATAGGGTGGATCCGGAAACACATGAAGAAAGTGACTGATCTCCCTCTCAACATTGGCTAGATTTCTCCACACCTAGATCCCCTTCAATAGCACACACCCACCACACTTTACTCTTTGTACTTCTCTTTGGGTCCAGCCAAAGAAAGTACCTACACCCACCCCGCAATGTCAGCCACTACGGAACACTTATCTCAAAGTTAATCATTAGAACAGTGTCCATGTAGAAGCCTCACTACACTATATCCAATAGCCCCCCCTCCAATGTTTATGTCCTGACACTGGGCAAACAGCAGAGGCCAGACCTGTGCTCCTCTTGTGGTTTGTGATGAAGATAGAACAGATTATCAAATCAACACTTGTGATAAAATCGATCATATCCTAAATGTTGGAATGGGGGGCCATTCAGTTCAGTTTTTTGCTGGCTTTTGTACAAGTGGGTGCCATCATTTCTCCATGTAATGTACTTGTATACTACGGTTTATAAACAGCAAGCTAACATTCAAACTTTCAGCTTTACAATCTGTGTTTGACGGTCGGTAAGACGAGAACCTGAGAACCAATCTTCCAAACAATAATGGATACCAAAAATTAAGGGCCAAACTGGTCAGACAACCGGGACTGTATGGCTCCCAGAATCCATAGACAAAGCTCCTGTTTTTAGTTTTGTAGACATCAACATATTGGTCTTTTGAAATTAATTCAGAAGAGAAAACCGACAGAGAGAAGTTGTGTTTCCAGATATTTGGGTCGCTCACATCACTTGCCTGTTGTTATCTTCGACCGTCAGGCCGGTAAAAACAAGCAAAATACGCGTTGTACAAGTTCAATTACCTGCTTTCAATGCACTCACACCCGGCGATTCACAAGTGGGAAACGCAGGAAGGCTAAGACATAGTATGGCCCAAGTCAAGTTAAGGCATGCCTAGAACCAAGAAAAGCTCTAATCTGTGGCATTTTAAACAGCAGCCTTGTCCTCATTATATACATCACTTAAGAAATCACTGTCATATTCATGATCGATACTGCTGTGTCCTGGAGTAACTGTGACCAGTAACAGTATTACAATAGGTTACTGACCATACAATGCAATGTTATAGGCTCAATTAATGCTCATGCATTTCATATTGTTGTTCAAAATGTAAGATTAAGTTTGAGCGGCAACTATTACAACAGTCCAAGGTTTCCTTGTTAGAGGGATCTAGTAATAATCTTACACTTTATATGCAAGTGAATTCACGTCACAGATATGATTAGCCATAAGAGAAAAATTGTTCCTCCTCATGAAGCAACCAAGACAAGTTTATCTCATACATTAATACACTGATGATGCTTTTGGAAACACTTTTAGGCTAGAGAAAGCCAATAAGTGCCTGCTTTTGTATGAAAGTACATTATTTGAGAGAAGGAATAGATATAAAATGTAAAATGGTTTGCCCTCAAAATAGAAAGTGTTTGAAGCAGGAAAATCAGATTTATATGAAACATACGTAATGCAGAAAGGGTAAAACATCTGTTGTTGCTATTATATAAAAAATACGTAAATCCTTGTTCATTCTTCAACACGACAGACCTTCAATGCCCCAAAAAGTGCACTAACCACGATTATCAGAAAGTCTTTACATATTAGAATAAGGAAAGTAAAGAAGCTCATAAGTAGCGCGACAGCAGTTCTCAGTTGTATATGCATTGGCCATAAGCAGAAGCCGTGGTACAATTCCCACCTCTGCACCTTCTCCAACGACTACCATTGAGACTGCTGTCGTTTTGTCCTTAGGGCAAGACACTTAACCACTTTTGCCCAAAGCCCACTGAAAGATCAAGACTATGCTCACACTCAGAGAGCAGCCGCTCATGTGGACTCACCACCTGCAGAGGGTCATGAGGGACTGTGCTATGAGACTTGGGTGGCATCTCGAGTGCCCACCCCCCTGACCCCAGAAATGGATTAAGGGTAGTAAAATGGATGGATGATGGAAAGTAGAGGACCATCATTTTATAAATTCCTTGCACTTGTAAAGACCCTTTCCTGGATGTAAAGCCTCTCAAACCATTGTTTTTTGAATCACTCTGCGCTCGATGGTGACAGAAGCGAGGTTCCAGTCTGTGCCGCGTCCCCTCACACTCTTCATTTTTCACCAAATTCAGACTGTATGCATGTGAGCAGGGATGGCGACAATCAAAGGGACTGTATATAGCTGTACATCTGCTAACCCCTAGCTCAAAGCTTTGAGGTGCATAAGAATGAGTATTGCTCCATTGACCTCCAAAGAAAAAGTAAACTCCTCTGGTTCAGTAAGATGCACAGAAGTCCCTGACACAACGTTACAAGTCTCTGAACCTGTAAGTCCAAGTCAGTCATGTCAGCTCCTCGTCTCTGCCCAGAAGTCCACTTAAGTCCAAGTCTCAGAGTGCAACACCAAGTCCTCCTGTTCGTTTTCCCAAAAGGGGGGGGGGGGGGGGGGGGGGGGGGGGGGGTGGGGGGGGGGAATAAACACTGCAAATACCCTTTCGCTTCAACCTTTCACGCAATTCAGGCACTGTCAATCGCTTGTTGTTTTCGTGAGCCATATTCGCCATTGTATGAAATCAACCGGAAGTGAACTGGGCAACAAACGGTGTCATTTTTTGATCACAGCGCCGCTCAGTGGATGGAATTTTGGGAGAGCAGAACGCCCGAATTGTGGAAAACTGGTCCAAGGATGCATTGGGAGGTAAAGAAGAACTGCAAAGTGGTAAGCTTGTGGTAAGGAGACGTATAAATTACAAAATTAAGATTTTTATAAATATCTGCAAATACGTCATTATTTAGGAAAGGAAATTAATAAAGTGAATAAAGATAAAACTTGGCCAGGTATTATAAAAATATGATGGATGCATATGGGTCGCAGATACAGAAAGCAATCTCAAAATTGTACAATATCTTTGAAGAATTAAAGAAAGACAATATTTATTATGTAAAGGAAAGATGGGAAAAAGAAGCAGGCATAGAAATCTCCCCTGACGATTGGGATGAAATAAATGAATGCCAGGGAAAAGTTATAAACTCCATTTCTTGGAGA